ATGGAACACAGAAAAGGAGCATTTTGGTGTTGGAGACTCAGATTTTGCTAGAAACGTTCTCTTGGGCATTTCTCGGTAGGCTGGACTCAAAAAAGCTAATAATAATTTTTAAACATTCAACTACTCTTGTGACATAGCAATGGCAAACCAAAACTAACCAAAATGCTTTAACTATGATTAATGTTCCTTGGCTCAGACTAGATGCTTCAGTATAATTGTGTTAAGCATCTTGTTCTCTACAGTATATAATGAATGGGGCCATCAAAAAAATAAATATCAGGAGCTCTTAAATCAGTTTTGACACCATGTTACCACATCAAGTGACAACTTGTAATGTATATAAACTGTAGAACAACTATTCACTTCATGGAGGGTCATGATCTGAAGATCTTTTAAGTATTTTAAGAATAAGCCTTCCACAAATTTTCAGAAACACACCCAAATAACCACAGAAAGATCTTATTCAGCTTTATAAACAAAATGTTTTGGTTTCTGTTGGTTTTGTGAAAGGGAATACAGAATGATACTTACTAGATTTTTTAGATCACTGACCAAACAGCGTTTAAAGAAGAGTTGTCAGTGATGAGGATGTTTCGACGAGCGGGAGAATTGTTATGGGTGACGTGATGCTGCAAGATTCGAGCTAGCATTCAGAGGCAGGTTTAAGTGTGATGAAATGTGTCATGTTTCAAATAAATTGGTCTGTCAGTTCTTGATATTTTGAAGGTTGAGAACAAAATGGTAGCTAGGCAGCCATCCTGGTTCCACACAGGAATCCCATTTCACCGTACAGTATGTTAACTATACAACTATCACAAGAATGATAGCTATGAAGCTGGGAATTAATTTGATAAATGTTTCCTTCTAAAGAAAAATAACTTTTTCTCACACACAAAATCATACAAATTAAACTTAAAAAAGTCATCCTGGAGATGACTGGTCATTGTAAATCTAAACAGTGCAGTTTAGTGCAGCAATTTGAAACCACTGCCTAAATCAAATCCATTTTAGCAAGACAACAAACTTAGTAAATGATAGCGTTTGTTGAAAAATGGGTTTATAGTTCTTTCATGATGATTAATTGCATTCAATTAGCTTCCATGTTTAACCTTTAGTGTTACTATTACTGTATGTCAATAATAAAGGATACCAAACCAGAAGTCTTACTTTTCTATTGTAGCTCGTAAACAACTGTATGAGAAGAGAAACAACCAGCCACTAGCAGGCGTGGCTGTTTGTTCCAAAAAGTTAAGAATCCAACACATCAGGTTTCTTTGGACATATAGTATGAGGTAATCTTCACAATGTTAACAGCTGACAAGAGCTTGAGATTTCGAGAACTACTTTGACCCTCCTTTCATGCCATTTTTGCATAATATTTGAACATGCTTTTTCAAACATTACTACAGCTTTTTATAGAGTGCTTAATGTTTTCAACCCATCCTTCCATGTCGTAATATTTTTTGTGTCATAATTAACAGGCCCTGAAGCACAACCTAAACATAATATACCCTACCTTAATCAAATATTATATATGGAAAAGATATATATATTACAGTCTTCTAACATTTGCTTCATTTGCTAACATTAGGGCACAGTTCAGGGGCCTGTGGATTCATGTAGGAGTGCTAATAAAATACAATTGCAGCCATTTTTGGTGCAAATAATATTAACTTAAAAGCACTTAAGACACTTAGGTTGCTAAGCAGACTACGCATTAATGGAATTTAGTAACAGAATAGTAGAAGCATAAGGTGGTTTAGAGGTGTAGTAAAACTCTGTTTCCATACCAATGAAGGCATTTCAATTAATGAGTTATTTCAGTAGATTTGAATAGGAATGGTGCTGCAATACCATGGTCTCCTTTCTCTGTCACTGTTCAGTGACGACTGCAATTATCTGAATAAAAATGGCTGACCTGGCACAAACATGGTCAAACTCTTGAGTGTCGCAGTCACACGCTGGGAAAGCTGCAGGAGACCTCTGGTCAACATTGGCCTGGATAGCTGCGTCAAGGTGCCAGCTTGCTGCACAATAACATGAGGCCACACGGTGCCAAGCACACTCGTGAGTCACCGAGTTTAAGGCACTGAGGGTGAGACCTGCAGAATCACAGTCGTAACCTGGCACCCTAGTCATTTCTCTCTCTTCAGACCCTGTAATAATACCCATCCCAAAAACAATCTGAAGTGAACCATGAAGTGAGCCCGGCAGTTACGTCTTGGCATCTGTATCATGGTGGGATACCATATTATTCATCAGCCATATTATTTGTTGTACCAGTTGCAACATACAAGTAAATTCATTAGGACAGGAGCTGTAGTTATCTTATTCAATGAAATCAGCCATACATTTTCTAATCACTTCCTCCGATCCATGGTCTCGGGGCAGCTGGCGCCCATCCTGGCAAACCATGGGCGGAGGCAGGGTACACCCTGGACAAGAAGCCAGTCCACTGCAGGGCACACACACAGATATTTCCAGGGTGAGCTTTCCCAGAAGCCAGTTGACCTACAGTACCAGTATGTTTTTAGACTGTGGGATAAAACTGAAGCACCCAGAGGAAACCTTCATAAACAGGGAGAAAACACACAAAAGCCACGCAGCTCAAACCCAGGGCCCCAGCACTACAAGGCAGCAATGCTAAGCTACCACACAGCACTGCGCTACTGTGCCACCCCATTGAAATACTCTTCACACAATAATGCACTCATGTCCACCCACGAAAACACCTTCTGGGTGAGGCAAATTAAGCAGTTGTTATATAAACATGAGCAACAGGTTTAAAGGCCAATGATACATGATTATGATGTATATAAACTGTTATTACGTATGTACTGAACAAACTTGTTTCTGTGCTGCATAGTACTGTTGTCCTGTTTTGTTTTCTCTCTGACCCATATTTTCAAACTGAAAGGATATGATGTGTTGCTCCCATGAAACTTTCTGCTTTCATAAACCCCAGTCCAGGATGCTCCACACATCACCATGAAATCAACAAGTTCTAATGATTTGGAACAATTTCAGACATTTTTTAATAAGTAATTTAAAGATAATTTGACACCAAAATCTGAGTACTCTTCAGCTCCAAAAGGAGCTCGGTTTAATTGAGGAGATTATGTGTCTAATTCATGAATAGGTCATATCTGCCCCCAGTCTTTAGAAACAGGTGACCCATAAGATGGACCGAGTTTGTAGAGCCTTTTGATGTATAGATGGACATTCTAAATACATTTATAGCACTGGTGTGGAAGTCCAGTGGGAATGTCTGAATGCTTCAATTCAGGATGAAATCAGTTGAAAGTAGTAGCCCCCAGGAGATGTGGTATACCATAGTGGGTTAGCCTCTGGACTCACGACTGACACATTGCAAATACAAATCCCCACTCCTGGCACACCTTGAGCGAAGTATGTCCTCTAGTTCACCCAGCTGTATAAGTGGGACCCCGGTATTATTGGGGAGTAATCCCTGCAACAGACTGACATCCCATCCGTGGGGGAGTCACATGCTCTAGTCCACTTAAATTTTTGGAAGTCCTGCCCTGATGAGCTGCTGTAGCTCTGATAGAAGGTTTGTGGGAGTATGGAACAAGCAACCCAGCCATGCAGGTGAAGCCGATAATAGTAGTTAATAATTCCTCATACTTATATAGCGCTTTTTTTGGACACTCCACTCAAAGCATTTTACTGGTAATGGGGACTCCCCTCCACCACCACCAGTGTGCAGCCCCCACCTGGATGATGTGATGGCAGCCATAGTGCACCAGAACGCTCACCACACATCAGCTATCAGTGGGGAGGAGAAAAGAGCGATGAAGCCAATTCATAGATGGGGATTATTAGGAGGCCGTGATTGGTAAAGGCCAATTGGAAATTTTGACCAGGATGCCGGGTTAACACCCTTACTCTATTTGAGGAATACCTTGGGATTTTTAATGATCACAGATGTCAGGACCTTGGTTTAACGTCTCATCCGAAGGACAGCGCCTTTTTACAGTAAAGTGCCCCCATTACTATACTGGGGCATTAGGACCCACACAGACTGCAGGGTGGGTGCCCACCACAGGCCCAACTAACATCTTTTCCAGCAGCAACCTTTGTTTTTCCCTGGAGGTCTCCCATCCAGGTACTGACCAGGCTCACACCTGCAGAGTTTCAGTGGGCTGCCAGTTGTGAGTTGCAGGGTCATGGCTGCTGGTAGTCTAGTTTCTTTCAACAAACGGCAGAATTGGATTCTTGGGTTAATGAACCGCTGTCAAATGGGTTAGGTGGGCCAAATAGCCTCCTCTCCTTTTTAACCTTTGTATGTTCTTATGAAATAGCATTGTATGCAATCCAGATATGTAAACAAACCTATTCGCAGTATGTGTATCTGCCCTTCTCTTTGTGTACACGGATTAAACTGTAAACTGGGAATTTCGAGAGACATTTATATGATTTACGAAACTAAATATAAGAGATCAGTTTCTCTAAAACAGGAGATACTAACCATACAGTACGTTTTCATCTATTGCCGTCTAATACGACATGCATCACTATGTTACAGTTTTCAACGTCATAGTGGAGTACGAAGCGGAGAGTAATCTTCCTGACTGTACTGTAGCGACAGTGATGGTAACGATAACGATACAGTGCTTTAATAGGCTCACCTCTGATACAGCCAGACCAAGTTTTGATCTTTATTACAAGGTGAAGGTGACAAACCAACATTTCAAATGTTTAAAAAGAGCGGGATATAACTCAGCTTTGTATTACGATACACCGCAGTCTTAAAGGAGCAATGCGGACAATCTCTAGGTCTTACATCGCTTATCCGTTGTAACGATTCGATGTCACCTTTTACAGAACCCGTCATGTACTGAATCCAATGCATTTAGTACAGGATTGATGTTGTGCTATTACGCGTTTCTGTGATGCTAAACATCAATATACCATGGACAATAGCAAAACGAGTCCAGAATGAAGTTACTCCTCGGATATGAACCTAAAGCTTTACTTACGCTTGTGACGGATTCAGTGGATTTGTATCACCGGCTGTTCATTTGCAGGGATAGGAGCTTTGCAGGAACTGACATCTGGCGCTGTGCTGTCGCGCTTCCTGCTGTTCCGTGTCTCTATCCGGGCATTCTCAACACTGCACTGCACTGCTGCTCTCCGGGCTTCACCTACACGTTTCTGGAGCGGGCGGGTGCCATCTTCTGGACCGACTGACTCAACTCACACAGTAACCATACCACGCAGTTCGAGAAAATCCTTCAGGATTACCTAGTGTCCTCATGCGGTGTCGCAGTCTTCCAGGTGAACAAACGCTGAACATTGTTTCGGTTGTTTTTGCGCGTCATGACATTAGACGACTCCGCTTGATTTATTTATACTGTGAGCGAGGGCATGTACTTTCAGTTTTTAGCAGCAGACTTTCTGTGCGGTACGGTGGAAAAGACAGAGGGAGAATGGTTTTTGAAATACGGTACAATATTATTGTGTGCACTAATATTTGTATGCATCCAAACCTTATACTCACCTCTCTATAAAGCCTGTACTGTAGGTTATCTTCACAGGGGTGATTCATTCTCTATTCATAAAAAAATCTTTACAAATATGAAAGAATTGACACAGGAACATATATTTCTAAAATACATCACAAATGTTGATATCATGGACAATCCATTGATCTGTATTGTCCAGTCTAAATGTTGAAAACAGTAACATTAGAGTGTATCTACGGTTGTTAAGGAAGAACACACCAAGTTGAATTTTGAGATTATTACAGAAATACCAAAGATGACCGATGTATTTTAATGCAATATTTAATAACAGGACCTATAATTATCATATAGGTATTGTTTATAATATAATACCAAATGAAATGTTATCACAGCATTTAAGAATATACTTTAGGCCTACTGGAATATTGTCAGTACTGCGCATGGTACAGATGGCAAAGTCCCCTATTGAAATTCATCTGCAAGTGAGAAGGAGCACTCCATAAACAACCTGAATCTGAAAGAGCAAATAGTTTTTTTTTTTCAGGATATTCCACCCATCAGTTCATTGCATGTTCATTAGAATATAGTAAACAGTTTTTTTTTTAAATAAACTGCTCTTAGTCACCTGAAAATAATCTTATTTGGTAAGTCCGTTTCTGTTTGTTTTCAGAGTAAAGTGTCACTGGGGGCCAAATCAGGGGAATTATGCAGGAAAATTTAGTTTTTAAAAACCACACTCCCTGACTGCAGCCTGAAGATTGAGCACAGTGATGCCAAATGATGTTTTATGCTCACAAGTACAGAATGATATATGCAGCAGTGTGCAAAAACATCAACTACAAATACATAAAGGGAAATGAGGCGCTAAAGAGGGTTTCTTATGAAAACATGTTAATTTGACGTTTACATCCTCAGACAATATGTGGAAACAAATAAAAAGGCAAAGTACAAGTATATATACTGTATACAGTAGTTAATAGTGCAGATTTTAAATCAAGGGATGCTGTATTAAAATTGTCTAAAACACTTTTAAGGCTTGATTTAGAGTATTGTATACGATTTTGGTCACCACATTATGGAAAAGATATTGCGGCTCTGGAATCGATCCAGAAAAGAGTAACCAGTACATTTCAGGAGTTAAGGGAATGTCCTGGACTGACAGACTGAAGGAATCAAACCTTCTGAGTGCTGCACTAAGACTAGGGGGGGGGGTTATACCTATATTCAAAATTTACAAATTAGTATGGAACAAGCTGCCCTCCCATGTTGTTTAAGCCAATAACCCTACGATTAATTAACCACTAACAACAGGTAGATAGGAATGGCAACCTCTCATCTGTAACCTTTCTTATGTTCTTATGAAATAACATTGTACTTACACTATGCAGGTATTTAAACAAACCTATTCACAGTAGGTATGTGTATTTGCCCTTCTCTTTTAAATATCCAACATTAAAAAAAAGGGTGAATTTGATCCTTGGATCAATTAACTTCTAAGTATGAAGTTGGCTTGATGGGCCAGATGACTTTCTCTTACTTGTAAGCTTTCTTAAGTTCTTAATTTCAAAATCAATAAAACCATGTTGCCTCCCCCCCCCCCAAAATAAAAACATTCTGCATAACCTGAACAGGTGCACAACACTTTGGAAAATTTAGAAATTACATTGTTTTCAGATGCCTGCGGAGATTCTGCTACAGTGACACATTTCCACAGTTGTGTGAAACAAAAGTTCATAATTCTCTCCAGGAAGCTTTACTAGTGCTGGGGTTTAGCATATGTGCTAAAGAGTACACTAGTATCAAATAAAAGTTGAATTTATTTCTATAAGAAAAAAATAAATCTCTTCTGTTTCCTTTTTGCCTTCACAATAAATGGCCCAAATTAATTAAGATAAGATCAGATAAGATCACATTATTAGCCATTTACAATTTCTTGCATTAGGAATTTGTCTTTTCACATACCCCAGCTTGCTCTCCATGAGACACACAGGCACACAGACGGGGAGAGAGAAGCTTGGGGTCAGAGCGCAGGGCCAGCCAGGGTCTTGCTCAGGGGTCCAATGGAGTAGGATTCCTCTGCCGGCTACGGGATTTGAACTGGCAACCTTCCAGCCACAGGCGCAGATTCTTAGCCATAGTGCCACCGCTCTGCCCAAGGGAATGATGCTCCTGTATCAGAATGTGTGCTAACTGAGGGAGTGATGTTACAGTCTATTTCCAGTAGTGGACACAGAATTTAACCGGATGTAGGTCTGGCCTTTATCATATGTTGATTAGTACTGTATGTGGAATACATCACCCAAAGATTTTATTTTAAAAATATTATTTGTGCTGAACACTACACGTCTTGCCCGGATACATTCCTGAGCACCAAGGAATGTCCTGCGCCGAGAGGCAAAAATACCTGCATCTTCTACCAGAGATGACAATGAGGAAACCTGCTTCAAATTTTCAAAATGTTCAAAGGACTGACTAAGTCAGCCCTATGGACTTCTTCAGTAGCGAAGGTGAAACACATTGGGGGTAATGCCTTTGACCTCCTTCAAGAAATGGTTGACAAAATCCTTGGATCAATTATGTACTGAAAAAACAAACACAAAGATGCAAGATAGGCTGAATAGCCTTATCTTCTTTGTAACTGTTCTGAAGTGGTTATGTAGAACTCTTGGACCATTAAAATTCTAAAATGTGCACACAAATACTGTCTCATTTATCAACCAACATAAGGACACAAAAGGTGTCCGAGCCATTGTTTAAGCCTTTGTTTTTTTCCTTAATTTTATAAACAGAAACACAAATCAAGAGATTAGAAAAGGACTTCAGGACTTTCATTAAATACACTGATTGTACAAATTATTCTGTGGAAAAATATACAAGTAAATACAACATCATCTTTAGTTTGTACACAGAATATCATGTTTCAGTGAAAATCAAATAGTTCTTGTGAAACTTAAAGGATTACATACCACATTTTTTACAATGTCTTTTTGTAGGCCTTAAAGTTTCTGGAATAAGGACGGCATAAATGAACAATTTCGTACCAAGGGTGAATCATTTCTGTGTTTTTGTATGATTGAAAAGAAAGTGTCTTAAATTCTGACAGTTGCTAAGTATGGGGACATTCTATCGGAGGTCAATTGATTCCACAATAGTTTTCTTTTTTCTTTAGAACAGGTATTAAAAGATACGCTTTCTACATATGTACAGATAATTCCATATAACTGAAGTAAGAAATTCTCAGTTTTGTGACTGAAATCAGCCCTGCATTAAAAATGGCATTACAGTTCTTGGCTTCAACATGATTTCCACTTACATTTCACATGTCTTATGGTGTACACCAAATAAAAATAAATGAAAAGTTGCATGATCTTTTACATTTTCAGCATGTACACAATTATGAGTAAATTTATGTTGGGTGGTATTTACTACTTTTTTAGTTTTTGTAAGTATTATAATCATGCACTCAGCATTTGTTTCACCAAGCTCTAAAAGCTGTATACATGTTCACTTTGTGGTTAGACTGTAAAACATTCCATATTCTTTTGAAAAGCCTCAGGGTTGTTACCCACATCATTCAAAGCACTGTCACCAACAGGTTCTGCCCATGGAAAACAAAATGGAAGAAGGCAGTGAACCTTGCCTTTGCAGCAGCTCTGCTAATTTCTTTCTTCTTCGAAAAGGAATAAAAGACATGCAGTATGCAGGTCTCGTAGTGAAGCCTACTCTGGTACCACAGTTTAAGGACAGCCTGATCACTGAAGATGAAAGTCATCGTCCTCTCACGGCACAGTGCAATCTGGACATTCTGCCATAGTGGTAAAGAGACGAACACAGCATAAATTAAGGTTTACATTATGTCACTCTGCACCATGGAGGTCTTGTCAGGGGGGATTCTGAAGCTACTGAAACCCTGTGTTCTGGGTATTTTCCAGGATTTCCTCATATAACCAGCTCTGTGCAAACTCCTCTGAATGCTCCATAGCTTCAAAGAGTTTCTTATATTCCTCTGGATACAAATGGCCTGTGAAAATGTCCTCTGGCAATTCCATCTGCAATAGCAACTTCTGTCCAGTCCCAGGGCTCCAGGAGCTGCAAAAAAAAGAAGTTTGATTAGGTGGGTAACATATTTCCATGCAGCTAAGCCTGTAGAACAAAATGTGGAAAATGAAGGTAGTCTTCCTAAATCCCCTTGCTGGATGTTGGACTCAAAAAGTCCAAACACTCCAGTAACTGGTTCTATGTAACAAGTTTATAAACACATCCAAAGGTATCCAACACATCTCACAGAAGACACATGACTGGTTCACTCCAACATGCTGTCTTGTGTGTTTCAGTCTGACAGAATGCACCAGAGAAGCCAAGTGAAGTGCATCTCCATGTTGTTTATTACTCTCATGAACAATACATTAGAAGAGAAATGAAAAGGAACATGAAGTTTACAGGTGTATGCAAAATGCAAAGGCAGAGTAAGGAGCCACATCATTATCCACTCTGATATGTTTAGTGCATACATCAACACAACTACATATGTATTGTTTCTGAAAGTATGTATGTTATTACTTAATAATAACACAATATGTGGTAATTTCTTTATTCATGTTGTTACTGAATCTATTTCAGTCATTTCCAGCCTTTTGACAGATATTCACTACCATATTAGTAGAAGCTTATCCCCATTTTAGAGTAATGTCTTTGAGAGAAATAGTGCCCATTATAACCACTTGTGCATGTGGAGGCTTCAGAGCTTCAAGCATCTCCGTGTATCTGTACTGAGACACCCTGCTTTAGCCGCGCTACATAAGACAGAGCTCAGCACTATCACGATAACACCCACTGCCACACAAAGTGCTCTGGCATTAAGATATATACAGTATCGATAAGAAAACAACTAAAGTGAAGTTTTGGATTTACCAGTGCCTTTTCATACATGTCAAATTATTAACAAAAATCACATCTATCCTGATCTATATCACTACCACCCATTGGGAAACACTTCAGTCAGGCAGCTTAAAACTTGCTTTAACATCCAAAATCTGCACTGCACTTACTTCAGCCTGTCAACCAGCTTTGCTTTGCGTTTGGCCAGACACTGCTTGATCATCATCACGAGAGTGGCCCCGGTGGAGGTGGTCAGGGTATCCGTGAACAGGTCTCTGCGCGGGGTCATCCTCACCAGGCACAAGTGATCATTTGTCAGCTGGTTATTGGGAATAAAAGTCACTGCTGTAACAGGGCAACTGGAATGATGACGCACAGTCTCGTAACGAGGGACGAATAATCAGAAGCTTTTGGGGATAAATGTGTGCACGTAACTGTGATAATTATGCACTTCATTAGGTTAAAGGTGTCAATATTTTAGCAGGTAAAATAAAACCTGTAAAATTAAAAAATGAGCAGCCCCCAGCACCTTCCACAGTTGGTGGTGACCTATACCTTTGCAGTAGAAAAGAAAGAAAAAAGTGACACGATCAGGTGCAAAGAAAGACTTACAGAGCTTTTTGGTATCGCAAGTCCACCATGCTTAGATGTGGTAACAAAAGAAGACCAAGGTTCCTACAAGTAAAAGTGAAATACAATGAATGGTTTGTTGAGCCACAGAATGGTTTTGATTATACCTAATTCAAGGGAACTTCCGTTTAATACATTTACTCATACAAATATGAATGTGTGTTTACTCCTTGCTGTTTTCAAATATCTCATTTTTAACGGAAGACGCAATACTCTGCAAATTGTTGCAAAAGGAAATCTCAGCCTGTTTGTCAACTCAAAATAAATTTTGTTCTGCAAAAGAAAGATTGATTTTCAACAGCTAAAAATTCTCCTGTAAAGTCCAAATGACTGGGGATCCTCCTGTCAGAATCATCTTTAGAATGAATAAATACTCCTATGGTCACTGATCACATAGAGACCAATTAAAAGAGACACAAAGTGTCTTACAAAATCCATTTGCTAACTGCTTGAAGTGTCTTACAGCCTTGCCTATAGTTCTAGTGGGGATCTAGGCTGTGGCGTTTGTATAAACCATTCTGCTGTAAGATGTGTTTTCCTATCTGCTTTACTGAGATTGTCCACTAGTGAGCTATAAAAACATGGCTTACTTTGTGCAGAAGTTGGATGTCACAAGCCATCTGCCAAAGACAACCTAAAGCTAGATAGTTCTTCATTTCTCCAGGAGAGGCAACCATTTTCTAAATTAAATAACACAAAAGAAAAATACAACAAAGATAAATCCTTTCATTCTGCCACAGTTCTGAAAAAGTGAATTCTATAATTTAGGACATGACACTTGTGAGATACTGTAATGCATCTCATTTTCCTTATACACCGTTCTGCCTGAAGTATGCCATAAATGACCATAAAAATATTTTTTATGAGTATCAACATTTTCAACACCTTCCTTATGTTCTTTTTTTGGATAGATAAAAAATGCAGAATCAAACTTGATCTGATTACTGTTAAAAACCATTCTAAACTAGTCACAATTTTTTTAGAATACCTTGTTTTCCTGCCATAAAACACCAGAATGCAAAACCTAAATATCACCTTACATCTGAGCCATGAGGAAAGTGATGAAGAGCAAAAGACAAATGGTAGCTTTCTTGACAAAAATGTCTCGTACTCTCAATTCTGCTTCTTGTTTCACCTAACTTTACCTTTCCATCCTTGTATCCTTTGTACACTTGGACTTCGGATTAATCGCAGGCAACACACGAGCAGGCTGTTGAGAAACGGTTAATGTGCCCCCAATGCAAAAGCCCTCCTGCGAGTGCACACCCACCGTGTATTCCTTCTCACTGATGAACATGATCAGCTCCACCCTGCCGAAGCGGAACACGGAGAGGCGCTCGTACAGGGCGTAGATGAGCTTCCACAGCATGCTCCTCTCATTCTTCTGGGCGAAAATCCCAACCACTTTGACGGGCACATCTACAAAACAAAACATCGGGGTTCCAAAGGCAACTATGACCTTTTCCACCAGCACAGAATCGGTTTGGTTTTCAATTGCACAGGTTTTTTTTTTCTAGCCTTGATTTTTATGGTTCCTTGACAGCAGAAGATGTCATCCTTCTGAAAATAAAAGTCTTTTTAAATACAGAGGTACAGGTAGGTAGCTGCGTCGGCATGCACAGAATGCAAAGGAACAGGTAAAGGTTTTCTTTTGCTTTCAGCATGAAATAAAGAGAAGAAATGCTGTGTATCTTTTCAGCATAGAATAAGCTTTTACCTGCTCATTTTAATTACAGCGTATAAATAAACAAGTAAATACAGAAATAATGTGAAAACTACTCCAGAATTCCTCCGCCTCCAGCATCAATTATATGCACATTGTAAAATAAAAATCATGTCTAGGTACAAATACCTAGATCCTAGAAAGTTCATTTTGAAACTAATAACTCATCACTACATCATTCATTTTTAGTTACACGATGGCAAACCACACCTGCAGTCCAAGGAACCTGGGAGATGCCTAGGTCATTGAAGAGTTTCTCCGAATACATAGCTGGTGGCTTCATGGAGCCCTGGCCAATAGGATCAAGCTTGAAGAAGTCACAGTGCACCACCTCCAGCTGCCCATCCAAACTGTTCTCCAGGGCCTGCACACATGGCACTCGTTACCCCTCAGAAATAATCTGCACACTTATATGCTTTAAATAAACTTTAAAAGAATGGTTTAACACCTAGTATCAGCTCTTAAAAACAGAATTTCTATTTTGATAAACATCATTCATCAATTTCCCAACCACTTTATGCAATGCAGGGAGTCAGAGCCTATCCCAGCAAGCAAAGGGAGCAAGGCAGGATACACCCCAGCACAGTAGTTTTGCCTTCTGCCTCCAAGTGCTGGGGCCCTGCGGTAAATTCCTGAGGTGTTATCTGTGTGGAGATTATATGTTCTCCCCACGCTTATGTGGGTTTCCTCGAGGTGGTCCGGTTTCCCACCCACAGCCCAAAGACATACTACTAGTGGGTTAACTGGCATCTGGGCAAACTGTCCCCGGTGAGCGTGCGTGTGTGCGTCAGTGTAACCCTTGCAACAGACTGGTGTCACTACCAAGGTGTATCCTGCCTTAAGCCCGCTGCTTGCTGGGATGGGCTCTGGCTCCCATGTGACTTTGTATTAGATAAAACTGTTAGAAAACAGGCAGAACGATGATTGAATATTATTCAGTGCGTCAACTTTAAAAACAATTTTTGGCTACAAATGGTAGTAAAGTAGAAACTGGGACTGTCGTACTGTCAACTCATAATAAAATAAGAAACCCTTTTAACTCCTGTAAGAGCATTTAGTTATCTGATTTGAGTCCTGCAATGAAGGACTTATTAACTACTTTATAGTTATACATGCTTCCCCTGATGAAAACAGCAGCAGAAATACAGAGAAACACCTCAGGAGACACACTTAATTCAGTGATTAGATTCCTTCTGCGGATAATGTTCAGCAGGGGTGGAATCTTTACCTGCAGGTCTGGAAGAAATTGCTTATCACTTTCAAGAGCGATCACTCTCTGTGCTCCAGAGTTGAGCAACGTTCGGGTTAGGACTCCAGGGCCTAAACACACAAAGGAACAAAGAAAAACCTTCCAGGAGCAGCAGACAGGAAGAGCTTCAGAAACAAAAATAATTACGGCATACTACGTTACAGAATGCAACCAAGTCAAACATCAATAAGAGAAAAATTTTCTTTGTAAGACAGACTAAAAGTACCTAAATACAGACACAACACAGACCTAAATCTACAAAAAATCCCATCTAGACAAAAAAAAAGGAGTCTGATAATGGTTCCTTTGTAGTGCAGCCTTTTCCTTCTCATCGTCAAATGCTAGACCGAAAGACACACTTAGACCTACCAGGGTTGCATTCAAAGAGGACAGCTCTGCTATCGGCCAGGTCACCCTCCAGCTTGTCGGCCACCAGCTGGGCCAGCGCAGGGTCCACGATGAACCGGCGGAGCGTGCGGCAAGCCAGCGCTTTCTTCGTGTGCTCCTCCACCTCGCCCACGTCCAGGAAGTCGTATCTCGACAGCGGCCTGCACTGGCCCTTCGAGGAGAGGGCCACGGCCGACAGGTTTCTCTGCGTCAGGCTGTGGCAGTGGGAGGGTTTCTCGGGCTGTGGCTGAGCCTGTGGCTTCAGTGTCCCTCCAGCGAAGGGGGCGGCATCGATGGAGTAGGCCCGCACCACCGGAGAGGGCCCCCAGAGCTGTCCTCGGCGCATCTGACCG